ACAGAGCCTCAAGCTGTCACCCTGGGTAGAGTGCTGTGGCATCATAGCTCACAGCAACCTCCAACTCCTGGGCTTAAGCGATTCTCTTGCCTCAACCTCTGAAGTAGCTGGGACTACTGGCATCCGCCACAACGCCCGGCTATGTTTTAGTTGTAGTAGTCGTTGTTTGGCGGGCCTGGGCTGGATTCGAACCCGCCAGCTCAGGTGTATGTGTCTGGGGCCTTAGCCACTTGAGCCACAGGCGCCGAGCCAGAAAACCCAGATTTTTAACAACTATCAAAGACTTCATTTTGGAGAACACTGCTCGTTTCCGGTACTATGAGTCTTCCTAGAGCACATGTCCTATTAAGTGCATTTTGGAACCTCTCCGGTGTTCTCCCACTCCAATATACACACAAAAAGAAACGCGCATACCAGACGTGCAGCTCCCGCCAGCACAAAGTGCAGACTCGAGAAGACGGAGGACTCAGCAGTAAAATGAGGCCCAGGGATCTGCAAATCTGCTAACTCGAAACTGTTCCACCAAGCCACACGCCGAAAATCTTTGAGATGGCGCAACCGCCAGGACGCTGCCGGAAGTCCCGCCCTCTCCCTCCTGGCGCTCCCTTCTGACGTCAGGTCATGCGGGGTTGATGGGAGGAAGCTTTGAGGGGTGGAGCTGCGCTTTGGTGGAGGCTTTCAGTCGACAGTTGGGTCCTTACCGACTATCTTTTCAACTGCCGGGGCTTATGGCTGTTTTTCTTTTCTTTTCTGTTTATTTCTTTGAGACAAGAGTCTCACTATGTTGCCCAACCTAGAGTGCCATGGAGTCGGCCTAGCTTTTAGGAACCTCAAACCTGGGCTCAAGCCATCCTTTTGCCTCAGCCTTCCCAGTAGCTGGGACGACTATAGGTGTCAGCCTCCATGCATTGCTAATTTTTCTATTTTTAGTAGAGAGAGATCTTGCTCTTGCTCAGGCTAGTCTCCATCTCTTGGTTTCAGGGGGTCCTCCCTGCTTGGCCTCCACAGTGCTGGCATTCATGCGTGAGCCACCGAGCCCAGCCAATAAAACTGCTTTCTAATCATCTTCTCTTAGTTTGGCCTAGTATTTACTAGGCGTCCTCTAACTACAGCCCTCGAGCCACATGCGGCTTACCTAGCTGGGTGTTTTTTGCTGCCACTGCCTGTCGGCTTAGCAGCCACCTCGTCCCAGGGCCCGCAGTCCGACCCTCCAACGGTCTGAGGGACAGTGAACTGGCCTCCTGTTTAAAAAGTTTGAGGACCCCTGAATACTCACTTTTTGATAAAAATACTACAATAAAATGATCTTTTCACCGACGACAAAAAAATAGCCAGGTGCGGCCGTGCCTGTGGCTCAAAGGCGTAGGGTGCCGGCCCCATATACCAGAGGTGGCAGGTTCAAACCTGGCCCGGCCAAAAACTGCAAAAAAATAAAATAAAATAAAAAATAAAAATAGCCGGGCCTGTAGTCCCAGCTATTTGGGAAGCTGAGGCAAGAGAATCGCCTAAGTCCAGGAGTTGGAGGTTGCTGTGAGCTGTGACATCACGGTGTTCTGCAGAGGGTGATAAAGTGAGACTCTGTCTAAAAAAGAAAAAAGGCTTGGCACCTGTAGCTCAAGCGGCTAAGGCACCAGCCACATACACCACAGCTGACAGGTTGAAATCCAGCCTGGGCCTGCCAAACAGAAATTAGGACAAGAAAAAAAAAA